CTAGCCTGCGTTTTATTGAACAAATATTTTTTTTTTTAATACATGACAGGCAAATGACTCCACTCCACCTGATGTTAAGTGGAAAGTGGTATCCAAATGCGAAGGAACCTAGTGCAGCGATGGAACCCTCACTGCACTAGCCACCTCCACCCCGCCTGCCTACAATATGCCTCTTCACGCTTCGTTTGAAGGACCCCATATTATAAGAGGGAGGGAAGACATGTGCCGGAAGGGAGTTCCATTTGTCAACCGTGCGGCAGAGAAAGGAGCCACCGAACCTTTTAGTACGCGATGGAATGCGGCAGGTAGTGAAACGGTGACTACGAAGGCCAGCACGCGTGCTTCTGAGCAGAAACGGGGAAGGGGGGATGAGGTTGAACAGCTCTTCAGAGCACTCACCATGGTACATGCGGTAAAAGGCGCTAAGCGATGCAACATCTCTACGCAGTTGCAGAGGTTCAAGGCGTGATGAGACCTCTTCGTCGCCTATAATTAGAGTAGCACGACGCTGTAATTTATCCAAGGCTTCGAGTAGGTACTTGGCGGAGCCGTCCCACAAGTGCGAACAATACTCAACGCAAGACCGGACCTGTGTTTTGTACAGCAGGCATAACTGGTCCGGCGTGAAAAAACGTCGCACCCTGTTCAGGACTCCAAGTTTCCGTGAGGCTGTTTTGATCACAGATTCGATGTAGCTCCTTGGATTCAAATCACAGCATATTTCCATACCGAGCAAGGTAAAACTGCTCTGAGGTGAAAGTGCTGTGCTCATCAGAGAAGGCATGGGAAGGAACGGCGACAATTTTGTTAATAACGCGCATACCTGTGTTTTCTTGGCGTTGAACTCAACAAGATTTCTAGATCCCCATGCAGAGATGAGGTCCAATATCCTATTGAGCTCAACGACAAGATCAGATCGCTCTCTGTCAGTATCGGCGCGCCCAGCTGCGGGGAATCCGTGATATCCCCCATGAACAGTGCTATCATCTGCATAACAATGAATATTCCCAAGTGGAAGCATATCATTGATATGCAGAAGGAAAAGCGAACCTCGAAGTGCTGCCTTCAGAAACGACGCGAATTCTTCGCTCATGAAGGAAATCGGCAATCCAGCTGCATAACTGGGCTGGCAAACCGTATAAAAATGGCATGGAAAAATTTGGCCGCACGTCAGCATTGCGACAGTCGCGCGGCCGCGCTGTGGCTGCAGCGCTTCTAACAGCGGCTAATTAGAACGCGCCTAATGAGTAGCTGTACCATATGTATGCCAACCTGGTGTTTGATGCAAGTCGTGCATTATATAATTTTAACGTGTATTTTTTAACGACTTGGCACTTCACCCTTAGAGCGTCACTTCACTACGTCCGATTCATATCAGTTTCGAATCCGAGAAATGACGATTCGAAATGTCACTGGGAACATTTTTTTTTATTTTTTTTATTTTTTTTTATAATAATAAATAATAAATAACGCACACACTCAACATAGCCCCGCACTAGGGAAACCCTGTGTCGCGGGTGCCATGGACACACATATAGACAGCCACAAATTACACCCAAACTCACGAGAGAAATAAATGTAGGCCATACAAACATTTCTCCCGGCCCGGGAATCGAACCTGGGACCTCTGCGTGGCAGTCCGGCATGGTAACCGTTCGGCCACGGAGGCAGTTACAGGAGACATTGTATCTCTAGTTATACAAGCGATATTCGTATTTTCTCGGATTCGAATTGGACTTAGTGTACCAGCGACATCCGAAATGGGTCCGAGTTTTCTAGATTTGTACAGTCTCGGATTCCAACGAATACGAAACGGATGCAGTCCGTAATCGCACATAGGCTCAATTTGTATTGCGGCGGAACGTATTGGAAGCGAATTTTTGTAACGATACTGTATTTCGCGCATGCTCGAGAATGCTCGCGCATTTCGTGGAAGATTTTGGCCAGTATCCAGTTTGTACGGTACACAATTGACCATAAAGTTCATAATGCTTTGTATTCCAATTGCCGTAGTCAGGCAACTTAAATGAACAATGCGACATAAACTATATCTTCTACTTGATAATAAATGTAACCGCATTTCATTAAATAGAAAATGATAAAGCAGATGTAACAAACGTCACCGCGCTGCGCAGCGCACACTCTGCATAATGTAATACAGTATAGAACATTATTCTCTACATTATAAATAATCTCAATACAGAGTACTAAAAAAACCGACCTCAAAAGTACGTGGAATTACGTCTACTTGCTAAGTTTTATTGAAATATCCCCTATCGAGTTCTTAGGTCAGTCAACCGTGACCATGGGACCTGTAAAGGGCCCGAAACGTCGGTTTGTTTGAAAAAATAAATATACGCGATTTAAATCCGGAAAAATAGTTTCATTTCCTACGAAATGTCCCCTAGTTCGCTGGTTCGTGGATGATTTTCTTCAAAATGAAATGGGACCACTATGGAAGGGGGTACTCCAACAAAAAAGAATCATGAAAATCGGTTCACAAATATGGGAGTTATCGCGTAACATACATATAAAAAAAACAAGAACGTACAGTCGAATTGAGAACCTCCTCCTTTTTTGAAGTCGGTTAAAAATACGTTTCATTGCCTTCAAAATAACAAAAGAGACAAGCCGCGCGGTGCATCGTTGGCAGCTTGTGTCGCCGTGGGCCAAGCAAAGTATAATTTAGCTTCTCAACAATAAGGTATATTTCTCTCTAAGGCATCAACTGGTAAGTGACTTCGGCCTGCATAGCGCGAACTTTTAAAGTAGCTTTTTTTTTATAATCAATAAAGAGAAATTTTATTTGGATGAAAAGAAACAAAAGACCAAAATGGCACCACCTGTCTTCGACAGCATTACTCTTTTATTATTTTCCATTCAAATAAATATTCACTTTATTTAGTACAGACGAAGTTCTTTACTGCATTGTTTTACTTATTTATTCTTTATTATTATGAACACTGACCAAATCAAATTATGAATAATATGATAATAGCTAACAATAGTCGCCCAGTAGATTTCGCACTAACGTTAAAAGAATTTTCTTACTAACTAAGTACACTATCACATAAGCCGGATTACTACCACACCGCAACAACGGACATTTTCTAGAATGCAGCTCGTGGGACTAGAACCAAGGGCTATTTTTGTATTGGAGTTATTTTTAACATAACGTGCTCTATGTGAAGTCTTCCATTACGTGACGATGAAAAATAATAAACTGTGCTTTAGCATTGATAAGTGTTAAATTATCGTATTAAATCATTGTAAAGATGTATGTAGAGACTCAAGTTTGATGGAAAAAATGAAAGTTCCGATTGGAGCTGTAAAGGCGAATGTAATTTTTATCGGAGAAAAAAAACTTAAAATTAATTCAAATCACCCTCAGAAATAACGCTTGATGAGTTTTGTGAGCAAATAGTTACCAAAAACCGTTGCAATGTTAATTGCAACATTATTTTTGAAGAAGACATTCTTCTGGTTTGTAAATCAAAACATGCTTCCTGGTTTCTAAATCTAAACTGTCATATTACATCTCAATTACTTATTAATTTAATGTGAAATTATTTAATTGCCTCTGTGGCCGAACGGTTACCATACTGGACTGCCATGCAGAAGTCCCGTGTTCAATTCCCGGACCGGGAGAAATATTTGTGTGACCTATATTTTTTCCCTCGTGAATTTAGGTGTAATTTCTGGTTATCTACCTATATATGTGTCTATGGCACCCGCGATACAGGGTTTACCGAGTGTGTGAATTTTGTTGTTTTTGTAGTTATTGTTAAGTTTTTAGGAAAATGTAATATGAATGCTGTAGATGTGCGTTATGAAAGAAAATAAAATTATATGATGAAATAGGTAAAACCTGTTTTAAAATTTGGTTTCCTGTCCTCTTTCTCGGTCGTTGTCATCTATTTTAAAGTTTTATTACATCGACTTACTTATATAACTTATATAACTCACTTATATAATATGGCTTAAATTGGCAGTAGAGTTTATGAAATATTATGTAATTTCTACAATACTTTCTGGAAACTACATAATATTTAATTAAATTATATTGTAATAAAGTTCAAACTTATAAAAGACGTACTGTTTATCAATAGGATGTATTGATAAACAGCACGTCCTTTAAAATTTAAATACTCGGCAGATCTCATCTAAGAAGAGACTTTAAATGAATCACGTTTCAATCATGTGGAGTCACATGTCTTCATTCCTGAAGTTTTCCTTCCCCATTTAAATAAACAATAAAGTAAAATTAAGCAGTCATAATTAGTTTTTTGTTTGTTAAATCGCACATGACCACTAACACAGTATTATCTCAAAATTGCTATCAGTTATGTTAATCTTACCTATTTAATTTCAAAGCGACTGTGTTGTCCTGTCACTTTGAAATTAAATCGTATACAAATGACTTAAGAAAATATTTTGATCGAAAAATCATATTACAAAATTGAAGACTTCAAAATTCAAATTCAAAATTCATTTATTCACTAGATAATAATTTTACAATGTCCGATGTTGGGGCTACTTGTAAGTAAAATTTACTTGTGTTAGAAGCCCCGAAAAGACTACGTGTTAGATAAAGATGTATGGAAAAACGGCATGGCTCCAGAATCCACACAAATTTGATTCAAAGTGTATTCCATAGCATTTAAGTTTATTTGAAAAGAGCAATCCCTAGAGTTTCTTGCTCGTTCTTCTCAGGGAGGTCAGCGCAGCGAACGAGCAGTAGCTTAAATGTGACGTTTTCAAGTGTAAATTTATTTTATCTATGGAATATGGAATAATATATAATCTTTGACTTTGACTTTGACTTTGACTTTGACTTACAAATATAGTGGAAATTTTGGAGATAAGTTATTAACATAACGCAATTTTGAGATAAAATATAATATAACGCAATTTTTGAGATAGTACTATGTTAGTTGTCAAGCGCGAAATTATTTTCATCAAAGATTCCTAACAAAAATATCGCACACACAAAACCTCACCATCTGAGCCGCTATGCACAGCGTAAATAAGCCACGCAATTGCCAGCGCAGACGCAACAGGCGCAAGCGCAGCGTACTGTGCTGCGAACGCAGCGTTGTAACGGTAAGTGGTGGAGCCAGCGTCCAGGCCGGCCCACCACACTAAGCACCAAAGCGATGTGCTGATTAACCAGCCCAAGATGCGGAGGACCTAGAACCAAATTTAAACATCACGACTGCAACAAATTACTTTTAATAAAGCAACACGTGTTCTTGCATTATGACGTGACACTTCTATTGCATCACTAATAAATATAACACTACAACATGCCAAGAAAATTAAAAATGGATATCTATGAATTCATGACATATGCACAAATAACATTTCAACAAAAACAACAACAATATCTGTATGTTATAATATTGTAATTGTTGAGATTATTTAACAGTAATTTGTAGGTGACTGTACTATACTTGTAGGTGATTTTTTGGCACATCCCTAACTTATTTCTTTTTTATATGAGAACAGTACATTGGCCGATTTTTTATCTAGTAAATTTTTTTAACAAATCCGGTGAATGCACCGCAAATGCGCCTGTTTGCGAAAGGCTCGCGAGCTGCGCACGTGCATTACGTAGTGCGATCTGTTCGCGTGCAGTTAGATATGTTTTAGTATATTTTCCACATATACTAACATATATTTAACTGCACACATGCAGCACGCGTGCAACGCGCGTGCAGTGCGCGTGCTACGTGCGTGCATCGCAAATGCAGCGCATTCGCCAGATCAGTACTCACCCTCATTCATTCCTGAAAAGTTGTCATTTTGCTAATGTAACCTTATTACACCAATGGTGCGTAATATAGGAGGTGGTAACAGTAAGGACGTTGTATTTTATTATTGTAACTGTTGTTAAGTGCCGCTGACATATACCAAAACTGGAAAGAACATATGCAACACTCAATAGAAGTATTTACTACTAAGAACTATGTTGCTAAGTAAATTCTTTATTTCTAAACAGGACAGTTAGCAGTTAGAAGTAATTGGCCAAGGTGTAGTGTATTAAACCACTGTAAACAAACCAGGTAAATAGAGAAAATAACATACACAATGGGTGGTTGTAATATACAATTGATAATGTATGGTGAATGTCAACAAAATATGCTTATATTATGTAGTTCCACTGCAGTATTCTAGAAGATTCGTTATCTCAAATTAAATGTAGCCGGATTACAGATTTCGACAAAAAATGGGTTTAACAATAGTCACATGGTTTAGCCTTAATATTAATATTGTATTGAAGTAGAAATAACCAATGAAAACAATGCAAAATAGTTATAACTGTTTTATAAAATATAAAAACGACCTTAATATTTTGTGGAGTTACATCTATTTACCATGTTTCATTGAAATCGGTTAATGGAAAGTCGGTGAAATCTAATAAACCGGATTCATCAAAAGTATCATCAAAATCGGATCACAATGTCGGAGTTATCGCGTAGCATACACAAAAAAACAATCGACCGTGTAAAAACTGACGATCTGGAATAAGTCTTACTTTGAACAACAACAAATAATCTAGTATGAGACAATGTACCTTTCTCACTTGTTGTACCTGTGCATTACTAATTTCTTTAGATTCCCGTAACTAGATCTCGAGTCGATCTACCATATAAATTTACGTAATTAAAATCATACGGAACATGGTTTTTTTGTCATAGGAGTGAGGTTAGGAGCATTTTACATAGTACAGTAAAACAAGTAGTGCAACTCCCGCCCATTCGACGCGTCAATACGTGCACGTCGAGCGGACCGTACGTAGGGTTGTCAATTTATTATTTTAGTTGTACCTACAGACTCGAAACATAATTTGACAAAATTAAGATATTCGACACAGTATTCTCGTGTTATATTGAAATAATCTTTGTCAAATACAATACTTACATATAGAAATTTTTGAATGAGGATGAAATGGAAAAGGAATTCTGAACAATGCTGAATTTGAGGCACTCTTGTTCAAACAAACACAAATATAAAACAATAAATACGTGTACTATTTAATTCTTTAATCAATGGCGCGTGTGATGACCCGCGCTGTGCAACTCGAGTGCACCGTGAGATTATGAGAATGTGTGCATACGTATACGAAGTGCATGGCGGGCGAAAACATATACAAATCGCGGTGCCACGTTTGGATGGACACACTACTTATGTTATACTATGATTTGACTATGGCAAAAGAACTCCGTGATAGTCAGTGTGCGATACTCGCACATGTAATTGATTTTTATTGAAGGTGGAATGAGAAGACTGTTTCTCTTTTATGGGAAGTTAAGTTAGGGGTGGAGGGCTCGCTCTTGTTTTTCTTCTTGTCTTGTTGAAGTTTCGCTTAGAATGTATTCTAAATGTAATTGAAAGACAGGCGCCATTTTGTACGCACAAATACCTACTCATTAGCGAGCGGGCGTCCCCTTCGTCCCCGCAACCCACCTCCGTTCATCCGTTAATTACAAAAGGAAAACTTAAATAGCAATTATATGACAATTATGAGGTAACATAATACTGCACTTGTTATTCAGTGCAGCCGTACCGCACAGCTTGCCTCGTCGGACAGGACTGTCAAGCGTTTGACTTTTTACATGTATCTTAAGTAACACAGTACAATTGATTTGGATAAATCTGTACTAATAAATCTGCACTGGAAGTGACGATAGAGTTAGAATGTAGCGCGAGGCCTTCGCTCTTTCGTGCCCCTCGGCAACAGGGTATATGTCCTGATTGGAATTGGCGTAAAGCGGACTATCAGGAATTGTATGCGGCTTTATCTAAAATAGACTGGGCTGGTTTGTTCGAAGTTCGACATGCTGATGAGGCTGTTGGATATTTTTATTCAAAAATATACGAGTGCTGCAATCGTTTCGTACCAGTCAGGAAACATTGCCAACGCGATTTGCGATACGTATACCCGACATGGTATACTGCTGAAATTATACGGAACTTAAAGTATAAACACTATCATCTTAAAAGAATGAAATCTGATGGAAAGGAATATAACGTAGAGCTGTACAAATACTACAGGTGGCACGGTAAAAAACTAACAAATGACGCGTATCGGCAGCATATAAGTAGGTTGCAAAAAAGTATAATTAATGAACCAGCTCGATTCTGGAGATATGTTAAAGATAAGAGAAAGGACAGGCACTGTACAGATGTCTTTTCTTACGACGGTGCGGAAGTGTCTGGACAGGCTGCTGCGGATGCTTTCGCGCGATATTTCAGCTCTGTTTTCCTATCGGATCAGCCGCAACTGGACCCTGCAGATGCTGCTCGAGCTGCTCATCCAGTAGTGGGCACTAGGGATGTAGCTGTTGTGGGCGTAAGCGGGGACGATATTAAAGCTGCAATTAAGCGTTTAAAAACGAAGTCCGCGTGGGGTCCTGATGGAGTGCCAGTGTTTTTGGCAAAGAATTGTATGTCAGCTTTTCAAAGACCGCTGATTTACATATACAACCTCTGTCTTGACTCTTCAATATACCCGTTGTGCTGGAAACTATCGCGTGTGACGCCAGTGCCAAAAGGAGACGCTAAAGGCGATGTAACGCAATACAGACCTATTGCTGTACTTTCTGTGTTTGCGAAAATATTTGAATCCATCCTTAATACGCGCATTAGTGGACAAATAAATGGATTGCTCCATAGTAGCCAGCATGGCTTTCGTCCTGCTCGGTCTACTACGACAAATCTTATCGAATTGGTAGATTATGTATCTGCAGAGATGGATGCAGGTCTTCAGGTAGACGCTGCATACTTTGACTTCAAGAAAGCATTTGACCTAGTGGACAATGACATATTATTAACGAAATTGGCGATGGCTGGTTGTACGCCTAAACTCCTACGGTTTTTTGCCAGCTACCTAGAAAATAGGCGCCAGTTTGTAAAAGTGCAAGGTTTTGAGTCACCAGAATACTACACAAGATCTGGTGTAAGCCAAGGAAGTACTCTGGGTCCAACTCTATTTTTATTAATGATTAACGACTTACCTAAAACTATTCGTACTGCTCGTTGTCTTCTTTTTGCGGACGATCTTAAGATATTTCTGGGGGTGAGGGATATTGGTGATTCAGCTGCCTTGCAAATGGATATTGATGCGGTGTCGGAATGGAGTTTGACTAATCGTATGCCCTTCAATGACTCAAAATGTAAAGTAATTACTTTTGCCCGTAAACGTTGCCCAATACTGGTAAATTATATATTATTTGACGCCTGTATAGATAGAGTTTTTGACATTAGTGACTTAGGATTAACGTTAGATAGTAAGTTAGACTTTCACAAACACGTGACGGTAACCTGTAAAAAGGCGAATAGGATTTTAGGATTTGTTATACGGACATCATATGAATTCAATGACGTGGCTGTGGCGAGGATGTTGTACAGCGCCTACGTACGCAGCAAGCTGGAATATGCAGCTGTAGTCTGGGACCCTTATGAAGATAAATACTCTATAATGTTGGAACGAGTTCAGCGTAAGTTTGCACGTTGGCTTTATAAACGGCAGTACGGGTATTACCCGTACTTGTATCCATCGCTTTTTGTTTCGGGTATGGTAGAGTTGGACACTTTGTCTCGGAGGCGAAAGATGCAGCTGCTGGCTCATTTTGTTTCCGCGATCCACCACAGGGTGGATAGTGACATAATAAGTAAGGTGGATCTGTTGGTGCCCACTCGTATCCTGTGGAGTGATGAGGGTGCGGTGGCCCCGCGCCGATATCCACGGCTGTTAGGCAAGCCCCGCACGCGCACATTGTACGCTGAAAACGCGCCTACCATTCGCGCAATAAGCCTGATCGGGGACATACTCACTCAATGTGACTCAATTGATTTATTCGCTGATCGCGTTGGCTATATATGTAGAGAGATGTCTCCCTACATTGTGTAGTCAGCGTTATCATAAAATGTTAGAATAAGGACTAGAATAATTTGCTGTTAACTATTTTTTGAATTGTAATACTTATCATAATAATTGTATGACTTGTAAGCGCTTTGGCTACTTAGCTGTTAGTTTGCAATGTATGAATAAATAAATAAATAAATAAATAAATAAATAAATAAATAAATATGAATCATAATAATGACACACTTTAGCTAACTTTATCCTGGTGTAATTCAAATTCAAATATATTTATTTCAAATAAAAAATTCATATAGTGTTGTAAACAAAATAACTTAAGATCTAGTGTTAGTATTCATTAATTTTATATAATTTAAAAGGACAATACAACTAAATGACTCAATCCATCTACGCAGAGTCCTACCGATCTGTGAGCACACACAACATGCTGTTGAAGCACCGGCGGAGGCACCTCAGGGCAGATGCACACCTTTTCCCCACGGTGTAGCCCCATCAGCACCCTGAATGCGTTATTATATTGAACACGGCAGGTCGCTAAATGTCCGCCTCGAATACGCGACCCACAGACTGCACGTGTACAGCACTTGACAATAAGCTTTAAATAGTGTAATTTTTACCTGTTTAGTATAACGTGCAAATACGTAATAAATAACGTAATAAAGAAATTAATAAATTTAGTAGCAGTAGAGCTCTTTGTGAAAGAGTCCAATGAAGTACTGCCACCTTACCTATTCTACCGCCCAGCAGTAATGCTCATATTACTACGTTCCGGTTTTGAAGAGTGAAGGTGCTGGTGAAATTCCATGAGACTTACCAACCTATGTCTCAGGGTGACGGGCGCAGTGGCAGTGCTCCTCCGATCTTTGTGTTTTAAAGCTCTGAGTGACACTACAACTCGACTCATCCGTAGCACAAAGACCTATGTGCAAGATTGCTTATTCTTATGACATTGTACATTTTGTGCGCTGTTCTTTAACTGTGGATATCAGATCGGCCGTTGTTCGATTTTTATATTTCCGAAACGAAACAATACATAAAATTCTGAAAACACCTATAACTAGGTCTTATTTTGAATAACGAGATTATGTATTTATCCTCTTTCCGTTATATAATCACATCGGACTCTGTTCTTCGGATGAGTCGAACTATTATGGACAAGCGCGTCGCTTAGAGCGATTACACACGGCGACTACGACGAGCAGTGATGCAAAAGCGATGTACTATAAGAAATGCAATCGCTAATAGTCTACTTTTAAACACACGCGTTATTTTAAGTAGCAATACAAGCGCCCGACTGCATTGATGTAAACGCACGGTTGCATCGCTACAATGCTATGCAATCGCCTATAAATCGCAAGTGTAGCGATGCAATCGCGCGTATCACCAATTACAGCGTTTGCATCGCTGTTAAAAGTCACCGTGTGTAACCAATCTTACCATCAGGCGGGCGACTTTTTCGTCCCGTTGTTTGGTATCTTATAAAAAAGCCATATTTGCAAGATGACAATTATCAGAAGAGAGATTTAAATATTCCAAGAATATTTGTTTTTTTGTACTTAAATAGGAGAATTAGAACACAAATTCATAATTTATTCCATGTAATTTGTATTATTGTAATGTCTCTATGTGATAAAAGTATTTTTGACGTTAGATTAAAAGTGGGTTTATTATACCAAGGGACGGATATAATATGAGAGAAAAATTATATGTTCAATGTACTGCTCTCGAATAAAAAAATATAATATTTCAGGGATGTGCCATTAAAAAATCGGACGCTGATTTATTAGGCTGATTTATGTACAGTCGCCTCCAATTAAACGTGTACACTTATCTAAATTACAACCAAATAATCTCAATATCTGTATATCACAATATATTTACCCATTGTTGGTGTTCTTGTTGAATTGTTATTTGTGCATATTTCATGATTCCGTTGTTTCAAGTTATAGTGTAATATATATATTAGTGATGCAATGGAAACTTTAGAACGGAAACAGAAACAAAAACAGATGGCCAAAACAAATCTTAGCAGAAACGGAAGCGGATGTAAATACTATAAATGTCTCAATGAATAGTTCAAAACTGGGCTTCTTTTTAGTTTCATTGCATTTAACGCAACACAAAATTACTAAAAAACGCGCGCCAAGCAATCCACGTGCGCACTTAAACTATCGCAAACGTTGTAAGCTTGCGATTAAAATTCCGTTGCAAAAGAGAAACGGAAACAGACGTGAAAAAGCGTAACTTTCGCAGTTGCGGAAGCAGGAGCAGAGGTAAGTTGCATCACTAATATAATCAATATACAATCCTCAGCTTCGAGAAATAATCTAGCCGTGAAATCGCAGTTTCAACTTTAAATACTACTAGATAGTATTTAAAGTTGTTGTTGTTATGGTGTTGTTGTTGGTTAGGTCTATAGCAGTGTATTTGTAACTTCAACATAGGAGTAAAGCTGTTGAATTACCTTGCTATGTTCCGAGGGGTTCCGTAACGCGATTCCCAAGCCTACTCCTACTAGATAAGGAGTAGAACGATGCAGAATTGAAGTGTAGCTCAGACGAGCGGTTCTGTACAGCTGGCTTACCCTGTATTCAGAATAAAAAACATATTTAATAAATTGCTAAGACATCTTATACATTCTTACACATTCTTGATCATCATCAACAACCCGTTTATATATCCCACTACTGGGAACAGGTATCCTTTCTGACGAGGGTTTAGGCCATAATCCATCGCGCTGGTCCAATGCGGGTTGGGTACACGTTTTCCGAAGGTTATAAATCTTCTTCGACGTGCAGGTTGCATCACCATGTTTTGCTTCACCAAAGAGCAAAAAGCCATGCTAAATTTCAAATTAAATTTCATGTACACACACATGCACATAAATTCCGAAAAACTTCATCAGACTACCAAGGCTTTTATTATATTCTTGATATCATTACAAAATGATTGACAACATATCCACCCGGGCCACCAGCGCCACCAGCGCCAGTGTCAAAGTGATCTCAGTGGTCATACTAAATATAAAACGATTATGAATTGAATATGCTCTATTCAATTATATTCTGAGAGAAGATACAACACACTAATTACTTATAGATAGTGAGTTCCGGTGGTAACACAGGAATGTACCAGTGGTACCACTATCCTCGGTGATTTTTGGTTTTTTCACTTCTATACTATGTAAATATCATCAGTTCATGTTGCAATTTAATGATTAATTATCATCATTTTGTATTCCGTAGTAGTTCCCTTGACGAATTTATAACGGAACTCGAGAGAGAAAACTCCATTGATTGAAATACCGTAATAACAATTTAAATGAAACTGGTTTGTTTCCGTAGGTAAATGTAGAAAAAATAAAAATTTTGCAGAACTTTATGATTTTTTTTTAACGAACAAACTTTAGTCAATCGTGGTTCAAGCACTATAGTTCACTACCGGTATCTCCTGCTTTCATTATCAATTCAAAAAACAAGTTGAATTCGTATTAATTAATGTCGAAAAAACTATTTTCTGTGCTCTCGAACTCCATCAAAATGTCTATTTTGGGTCTTACTTATTACTTAAAAATTAAATTTCAATAAGGTACTTGTTGATCAGGTTTCATATCAGTGACACGTGAATCAGATCAGGTGGAATTCCTGACCTATAAAATATACATAACTTTGACCTAACACACAAATATACATAATTTTAAATTAAAATTTATGACTGATGACTATACTTCAAAATTGACATTGAAATCGTTAAATCCTGTTCAGGTACGCTTTTGAATGTTTACGGGGTGCTCGGATTCATAATAATTATACTATAAAATAGTAAGTCAAATTCTACAAAAATATTAATGTGGTGTGAGCTAGCCTTGAGGATATAGAAAATAGAATACAACACCTCGCAATGAAGGACAATGAGGTCATAAAGGTCTTTGGTGGAAATTATGAAATATGTGGAAAATGTCATTTGTTTTGAACTGTGTTTATTTCTTACCTGCTTTTCTAAGTATTCATTTTGTTCCACAAAATCGTAATCTATGCTACACTAATGCACTCCCTTTTATTTAGCTATTTTTCCTATATTTTGGTCTACAGTAGTGTACTATTGTAATTTTGCAAACATGTGAAGATTCTGTGCGCTTCGATGAAGTATATGTTACCGAAGGGGCTGCGCGACAGATTTCAAACGTCGATCACTGTGAACGTAGCATATCTTGTGTACAATGGTATCATTCACGACATCGAAGTATTTGTAGAAATAAACATATGTAACTTACGTAACCCCATGGTAGGCCAGCATAGTGAGTCGATGATCGAGCACGGTACTGTATCGCGAGTAGGTTGCTAGGGCGAGCATCGAAGGCAGCAACAGTCTAGACATACGCTGTCCCACCTGCATTGCCCACACTGTTATACCTCCTAGTATGGTCAACTGCATATCCAGGGCTAGTTGATGGGTTTGCGGTGCGCACTAAAATTTATAGAATATTGTTGTGAATATTAAGGCTAATTGAATATTAAAAAACGGAATATGCCTATGGTATAAACCGATAAAGTGAGCGTCAAATAGGTTACTAAATTAAATAATTCAGGTTATTATAACGCGAGAAATCTTCAATCTTGCGCCCCGCGCATAGTAGGAGATCCCTTCCTTTGGCTCGCGTCACGGCTTGCCGCAAATACCGAAAAAATATGGCGCGTCCCATTGGTCTGCCGGCAAGTTTTCGCTCGTAAACTTTTATATTGTGAACTAAATATTTATTGTGAGTCTAAATCAATATCTGCATACTGACATTGAAGTATGCATTTGATTTTCAAAGCCACGGAAACAAAACTACGATAGTTACTCACCACAAGGTTCTTTTTAATACGAAAAGAAATACCACCATCGTATTCGATACTTATCATAACATTTCCTAGATTGTATAGATATTTATTAATTATATTCAATATTCAATGACATGATGTTATACTATTATTACTGCCATGATATTCATTATATTTATAGCTCAGTAGCCCCTTGTACACAACTACTCTATCGCGTCGCGCGCTCGCGCGTGATCACGTGCAATCGTCCGCGATTACCTGTTTGAATTTTCTAAGCTAAAACGTTATTTCGCGCGCGAATGCTCTTGTTCGTTTTGTTACAACGGAAAAAGCGTCCATGTAAAGTATAGTTTCCCAAAGTGGTCTCTACCGCCCGTGGGCGCTAAAGAGTCCTAAGTGGACGATAGGGGCCTCGGAAACAATTGTTTATGTTGTCCAGGGGATGCAAACACATTTGAAAAAAAACCTGAATTAACTATTTAAACTATACTACAATATATATAATTTCATTTCCTTGTGATTTTTTTGTGTAAAGCTAACACCTAAAAAATACGCGTTTTCAATTTTTTTTGGGGTGATGGGCGTTGAATTATTTTTTTTAGCTTGCCTAAGAGAACGATGAACCAAATAATTTGGAAATCTCTGGTGTAAAGGCTAATAGCGCAGGATAGACAGCGAGAAACTGGCGCGTGTTGGAGTGAGCTAATGCGCGCGCGCGCGGTCTTTCCCTTTTCCTTCCAACGACTTTTCACGCGCGCTTAATCACGCTCGATTGCTGTATCACGCGCGATAGAATGTTTGTATAAAGCCTACTATTAGCTAGATCCGGCATGACAGCAGAAACTGCTTTGATACGACTTCTTCGATCTTTGTTTCAATGATAATGTTTACCAAAATTATCCCTAAAGCTGGTTTCATACAGTTTATCCAAATCGTCAAGTACCAAACAAAATTGCTCATCTCAAAAATTTGCAGTTTTTACTTTGGAAAGTTACTTGAGTCAAAATAATAATAATAATAATAATAATAATAACGCACACACTCAACATAAATAAAACGTGTATATGTAAAAAAATCTATTACCAACACACATATTTGATTTGTTATCGACAAATATAGGCAACAAACAATAGCTTAGAAAATCTTGTCCAAAATAACATAATGCAATTTTGTCACTCTCCTTTAAAATTACTCGCAATGACGTGAGCTGTGTTGTTTGCTAAACGACGCAATAGATGATCGACTATAAAACAGCATTCTAATAGACAAATGGTAGAAGCGTTGTTGCTCATCTATTGGGTAATGGATTTTCTTTGTGGTTTTATATTATGTCACATCAATAACAGTGCGGCAGAAAAGAAAATCTTTGTTCTACTAAAGATAGTTTTACGATCGTCTTTTTTTCGTCACGGGGACCCTATAAGAATTCTATAAGACTATAAGAAGAAATTTAATCCCTTATCTGCCAAGCAACCAATAAAAGTCAAAAAATGTTAGTTGTGGCTGTTATCGTTCCTGTGTGCAGGTTTTTTTTATGATACCAAGTTACGAGACTACAACACAACAACTCGTGCGCCTGGTGGTAAGCAGCACATGCCATAACAATTGCAATGCCACTAAGAGCAAACTAAAAAGCAGCCCATATGTTTCTTACCATCTCTTCGAAGCCGAAGTAATTGTGCACATACAACATATTCCACCACCATCCCTCTTGGCAAACCTCGGCGTTCTTCGTAACTAGCGTGCCCCACATTGGTCCAGAGGATAAATTGTCCCAGATATATGCGTAGAATAGGACAACGGCTAAAAGAGCTGGAGTTAATCTGAAATCGAAGGTAAAATTGTAGATAGAGAAGATAAGTAGCAGTAGAGCTCCTTGTGAAAGAGTTCGTCAGGGAATTTGTATGGAGGCATTGTAGTGTTTGACATTGATACCATAAGAAAAAAAATTATCGTAGGCAAGTTTCTTAACAGGAAAGAGGGCTTCTGTGTCATCAAAATAGATTCCAGTTGTTCTGAACTCCAAACTTAGTTTAATGAAGCATACGTAATATATTAAAGTTTTTGGTTCTAGGACACTGTCCCTTACAGGTAGACACTGAAATAGAATAAAATTATAACATTTTTATGTAAAAAACCTACCTCAAAATTCGTGGAATTGCTTCTATTTGCCAAGTTTTATAGGTTACCGGAAAGTGCACGTAACCGGATTCATCCCCTAATTTGCCGCCCTTAGAGATGGAATATTTTCTTCAAATTTAAATGGGATCAATACTGAGGTAATCTCTTTCCGACAAAAAGAGAATCATCAAAATCGGTTCACAAATGCCCGAGCAATAGCATAACATACCCACAAAAAAATCGCAAAACAAATTGAGAACCTCCTCCTTTTTTGAAGTCGGTTAATCACAAATTTTCGTATAGATTAACTTGACTCCTTGTCGGTACCAGTAATTAGCTATATAGTAAAAATAGTCACTGTCAATTACTTTTGTGCAAATATATGAATATACTAAAAAAAAATTATTGAGCTAAAATGACATCACAAGCAATAAAAACTAGCTTCTTACTAAATTTTCTTACTCCGCTAATTTTTTCGGAATACACTGATACAATCATGATGATCAAAATAAAAATACTTTGGTATATGATGAACAAATTATTGCTTTTTTTAACCGACTTCAAAAAAAGGAAGAGGTTCTCAATTCGACTGTATATTGTTTTAAAATATATAAAACCGATTCTTCACGGAAAGAGGGTACCTCAGAAATGGTCCCATTTAAATTTGAAGACAATATTCCACTTCTAACCAGGGGATGAATGACTTTTGAGGTCGGTTTGGTCAGTACTCGATACTGATCATTTTTTATACACTGTATATTATTAAATAGCATACTAATGTTAGTTATATTTCGATCTCTCGTACGTAATTTATCATAAGCCAAAATAGGTGCATTTTTTCGTACATTACCTTATTTTTAAATAATGATGCACCTTTAACTGCAATTCGACAAGAATTAAGGGTATAATGATTATTTTAATCATTTCAATATATCAAGACATTCCCCTTTAAAGTTGTGAATTTGGGCTTGCGATTCTTTACGTAAACGGATCAATTTGCTTTAATTAGCATTGTGCTGCTTTGTAACACCTATGACATAAGCTGCGTTTAACACATCAGCCTCAAATAGACTTTGCTCCTAAAATTCTGCAGGCGTGGTATTTAGCAACTGTATGTATTTTAATTGATAGTTCATAGTAGATAATCTAACTACAGAGTACTAAAAAAACCGATCTCAAAAGTGATTCATCCCCTAGTTTTCCACCCTTGGAGGTGGAATATTTTCTTCTTTAAATGAGACTACTTCTGTGGTACCCTTTTTCCAATAAAAAAGAACCATCAAAATAGTTTACAAATGTTCACAAATTATCGCGTAACATACAAACGAAAAAAATATGCAGTCGAAATGAGAACCTCAAAATTTTTTTTTAATCGATTAAAAATTTAAAGTATTACTATTAATTACATAAATAATTACTTCTCGGTGAAGTTGAGTAATAGGTATAACTACCTATGTTACTTTATTACAGGACATCATCAATTCAGTTGTAAAAGTTCCACAGGGACTGTAATATGAAATTTCTCTCGTAATGCTAATCTGCTAGCCCACAATCGTCATTATGTTTATTGGATTGAAGATCGTACCTTAGATATCTAGTGAACAATCTCCAAGGGGCGCCGGTATCCCCATCGGATATACGATGTGCAGTCAACGCTCCACTGAGCAGAAGGAAGCAGTCGGTGAACACCCAGCCCGCTCTGCACCACGACCATAATGGAGAACTCACTGTCTGTGGATTGAAGCTTAAGTTTCATACGTGTAGAGTACGATATTTTATATACCACTACAACACTATACACTACAACTGCCTATATAGGTTATTCGGAAACAACTAACAACTTCTCAGGGCTGTATTACTATACATCATAAACAACTACTTTTTCTTTCTCATTAGAAATTTGCGCGTAAAAAGCGTTCTTTGCACGCTATCGTGGAAAAGGTTTTTGAAATGGAACTTGACGATGGACTGCGCTGCGCCTAAGTTTTTCTTTCGTTGAAAAAACTTACTTATTTATGTAATACAAATCCGTTGGTATATTCATTCTTATCATCGTTGACATGAAATTGATATGATAACTAATAGGGAATCGGACAATTTTTCAGAAAGTGTCTAGAATTAACTAAAATAGATATGTACAGCCATGAAAAATAATATTTTATTAAAATAAAGCTTAATAGTCTCTAAAATGTGCTAAAACTATGTTAAAATTTAAATAGAAACAAATTGGCGCGCAAACGTAACAAAATGTCAAATTGAACGCGTGACGTCATTTGTAGGTAAACAAGCTACGAAATCAAAAATTGATGAGGTGTAAATTCAGAACACATCCGAAGATAAACTTTTTCTTTTCATTTAAGGAACTAATGTTTTATAGTTGAATAGTTTTTCTTTCATTTACCGTTTTCCTCGCTATAGTGAGGTGAAAAAAAGTTGTTTTGCGTCTCGTGCCTTGAAACTCTCGCTTTGCTCAGGAATCTATTTTTGAATCTTAGGGTCGTATTCCAGAACTCTACTCAATGCTCAAGCCAGGACTTGAGCCGACTTGAGTATGATTTCAAGCACTGAAAATACGACCCTGGCAAGGGCTTGAGTATGATTTTCAGTGCTCACTGCAATACTCAAGTCCTGACTTGAGTATTGAGTAGAGTTCTAGAATACGACCCTAAGCTTCCTTCGCTTGCTCTGTAGTGCGATTCACGTAAGTCTATCAAATCAATCTATCAAAATATCGTTGAAGTTACGTAGTCGTTCGATCGAAGTCCTGTCCAAAATTGGTATTCACGTATCACTTGAACGAACGTTGTTATGAACAGAATCGAAACGTAAAGACTAATGAACGACCTCTTGGATTGTGAAATTTGATGTTCAATCGTCGAAAGTCTATTGAAAGAACTGTCAAAATTTGAACAGAATACGTATGACTTGTCGTTTAGAATTGATTTAAGTTCGTTTCATATACCAGAATACGCTTTAACGACATTTGGATCGAACGACTTTAAAATTGGACTCGTTGACTTTCGACTGTCACACGTGAATAAGAAAAAGCAGTTCAACGACTAAATCGCTACGATATCGTAACAGTTTGATTGCGTGAATTACCCCACAGATGTCAATATAAGCACTCGCGTCAAACAACAACTTTGCAGCCCTGCATAACAAATAACTATTGTTCCTTTACTTTTTTTTACAAAATGAAATAAGTTTACCAAACACAAACTTTTAAGTTTTTGATGTACTATCAGACACTTTTTAGATCTGTAATTGGAAGTAAGATCAAACGTACAAGCGTCCTCCCCGAAGACCCCTACACCCACTCCCGCGTTTTGCATAGGACCGTTATTTACGCTAGCTATATTAAAAACTACCAAAAACAACGAGATTTTTAGGTACCATTTTCGCAAAACTATGATCATGTTGGTTGACACGAGTTACAACTAACAGGTATGTTACTTTATAGTATATATATAGTAAAATATTGACAATATATCCAAAACTACCTCAGAGCCCTAACGGTTTACACTGTGGGTACTGGAAGCGGAACTCCCGGGTTCGATTCCCCGTAGGACCAATTTGAGAAATTAACTTTTCTAAATTGGTTCTGGTCTGGCTGTTCTGGGAACTGTCCCAGAGTGAATTCCGTTGCTCTGATAATCATAGTACAGGGGATTCCTTAGTTTCAGATCAGGCAATTGGTATGGTTCCCAAGTCAGCTAATTTTCTTGAAACCATTGATCATTGTTATTAATAATACCTAATAACGCACACACTCAACATAGCACCCGCACTAGGGAAACCCTGTCTCGCGGGTACCATGGACACTCACATAGGCAACCACAATTTACATCCAAACTCACGAGAGAAATAAATATAGGCCATACAAATGTTTCTCCCGGCCCGGGAATCGAACCTGGAACCTCTGCGTAGCAGTCCGGCATGATAACCGTTCGGTCACGGAGGCAGTTTGTGACTCCACTTATAGTATTGCAATTATTGATAATATTTGCTATTCTGCTAAAATCTAGTTGCACTTTTTTTATAACATTAAGTGACGGGTCGAACAAGTCGTGCGCCTGATGGGAAGCAACACACCTTTCCATAGCAATTGCAGTGCCACTCAGAGCTTTAAATCGCAAAGATCTGAGGGGCACAGCCACTGCGCCCGTCACCCTGAAACATAAATTAACAAGTCCCATGTGCCTGTAATTTCACCAGCACCCTTACCCTTCCAAACCAGAACACAGTAATGCTGACATTACTGCTTGGCAGCTGAAATAGGTATGGTGTCAGTACTGCCCTGTACCGAACTCTTTCACAAGGAGCTCCACTGCCACAACGGCAGTTGAGTCTCAACAGAGTGTCGGTGGAATGGTAATGATGACATTCGTTCATTTCATCACAAGCGTTACTAAAACTACCACGGAAATTACTATACAATAACTTATTTTTATTTAGTTTAATCAGTAATTTGATCTTCAAAATATATATTTATAATATTAGTAGACTACGTCATCGACATGCCATCCACTCGTCATTGAAGAGCAGAATACCAAAAAATTGCAATGGCAGTTGAATTGTAGCTCGATGGCTAGCCACCGGAACCTACTCTTAACTACTCTATATCTACTGTTAAAAGTAACAGAATACCAAACGTACTAAAGAACACTCTATCGAGACACAACTAAGATGATTTAAAATTAGCAGACTTGATTGTCTGGTACCATTATTATCATTCATATAAACGTACATATAAAAAGGTGCCAACATCGATACACAGTACTTTTAGTCAATTTGATTCTAATACAACATATATGATGTGTAATATGTAAAACGTTGTATTTACAAGAACATGCAGCTGCCTATCTCCCCCCAAGATCATTATCATCAACCCATTTATACGTCCCACTGCTGGGCACGGGTCTCCTTTCAGACGAGGGTTTTAGGCCATAGTTCGCCACGCTGGCCCAATGCGGGTTGGGGACTTCACACGTTTTCCGAGGGTTATGAACCTTCCTCAACGTACTGGTTTCATCACGATGTTTTCCTTCACCGAAAAGCTCATGGTAAATTTCAAATTAAATTTCGCACATAAATTCCGAGAAACTCCCAAAAACCCTCTGCTTGAGAGGCAGTAGGTCAAACCATTATGCTACCACGGCTTTTTACGGCTCCCAAGATCCCTTTAGTCTTATTCTAAGACGAATGAAATTATACCTATTGCTATTGAAGACATTAATCAATCATTATTCATGCGTATTTAATGTCCCAATCTTCCACACCACTTGACTAAAGCGCATAATAGATTCTGATTATTACCGAGTTTTATTGGAAATAATCCGAACGACAGTGTTTTGCCGGCTTTATGTATACTTTACTAAACTCATTGAGTAATCCACCCAGTTTGTATTGGCAACCCACTCGACCCAATTGTACGGTAATTAGTGCCAATACAAACTGTTCGCCTTACAATCTAGATGCGTATCTATTTCGGGAAGCCGAAATTGCCCATCGATTGACTTCGAATAGTGTTGACAACAATAGCTTCGACTTTGTCTCATCTAATTCGCAGTAGTGATGGCATGATATTGGATTAGTTGCCTATTTCTCCGTCTTACTCGTCATCGATTGTAGGTATAATACAAAGTATGAATTGGGTGTATCCCACAGATTTTGGAATTTATCTTTTAACAAAAATAGAACAATTATAAAGCTACTCAGAGCTGTCATTGACGTTTTCAAAGACATAAAACAAGAAAATAAAGGAAATTTGTAACTTAAAAAAAAACATTCTTACTAATAAAAGCTTACAGTACACTACAACAATATCTAGACGATAAATCTTTATATGCCCTGCAGAGTTCATATTATGTTTTCTACATATGCTTAATGTAAGATCTGTAGCTATGTACATTATAGACCAATTAATAAATGAATTGAATTGAAAGGGATTTCGTAAACCAAAGCAGAGTTTAAAATATAACCTGTATTGAATAATATTGGTAATGCACTGCAACGTATCGCACTATTAATACAATAGTGTATTAACTCAAAAAGCGCATTTTCTCAGAAACAACGAAAAACTAATTACTCGCTTACCGTGAAAGATCTGTGTAAATTTATGTACAAGTTATTTCCCACTCGTCAGCTATACATACTTCAAAATAAAAGAGAAAAAATAGGCTCATATTTTTGAATAAGGTCTATTTTGGCAAGAACTAGCTCACATAAAGCGTGTCTCATTTTCAGTTAGGTAGTAAGTAGATATATTTTAGTTGTTTTTTTACAATATTCTAACGACCGTTTTATTGACGCGTAGAGAATCAAATTTTACGTTCAACAGTGGTATAATCTTGAATTTCACATATTTTGAGTTATCACACTATTGTAATAACAGTGCGATATAATCGCGATCAGATTAAGACTGATTTTCAAATGCCTAAAAATATAAGAATGATATGACTCGGCAGTCGATAAGCGAATTCGACTAACAAAGGCTGCGCGGCCGACTTCGACAAGTCATTATAAATACAAGTCTACGCATAGAGACGCAACATATCGTTCGAGACGTTCAACAGACTTAACGGGTAGGCAGGTATTTTCCGGCTATCGCCAAAGGCGACAGAGTCGCCCAACATTCTCAACACCTTGTCGACTCCACCGACTTGAGCAGGGACTCAGTGTTTATACTGGGTAGGTTATTGGTCATTGACATCCTTAATTCCGTACGAACAAAATTATATAAACATCAAGAGATAATAATACCTCTGTAATTCTCAGTCGATTGGTATATGGTGTGACAGCGACAGGCAAGAACTTATGAGCAATCAGTAAGGCCAAGGTAGCTAGACCTCTAACGCCATGGATGCTGGCGATCTCGTCATTGGTGCCAGGAGCAGTGAGCTTGCTGATCGTATGGTAGAGAGAGAAAGCGGAGATGAAACCATCTGTGATAGAAAGCGAGAGATATTAGGAGATAAAACCTAAAATAAGTAAAATATTCTGTTGGAATATATTAATATAATATAACTAGCACTCTACCGAAGTAAAATGCACAGAAAGTTTTTGATTTTTATTAAAAATCCAATAAAATATTATTTCTTATATTTTTCAGCTACTAATGAGTGTCATCAATATTAACTTATATATTCATGATAATCCCTGTAGTATTTTTTACTGATCAATCATAATACAATACGAAACTGTCAATAAGTTTAAACAATTACTAGAAGTCACTGAAGGCAAACATAATTCATGCAATCTGGCAATTGTGTAATGTATGTTAATCATGGGAGCTTGGGACGAAGCCCGATTTGCATCACAATCACTTGATTTTCGGCACTTGTTGAGGAGCCAAACATTAAGGGCCCGTAAGTCGCCTCATTGGGAATACATCAAAAGCTTCGGGAGTTCAGCAAGGGCTTTAATCTTGCCGTTAAGATTATAGAGTCGAGTTCTCTTTTAACTTGAAACTATCTTTTGATCTACGCTTCTTTAAAGTGTCTAATCGATTTTATGTTATTTCTGGTGGAGTTTCGGTTGTAACTACGAGTTTTGTATCAGTCTTACAGTTAAGTAATATAATTGTCTATTCCATCTCTTTAGTAGTTTCTTACCTGTGTGTTTCTTTTCTTCACCCTTTTCTTCGTCTTTAGACTCTTCATTTTCCTTAGATTCTTCATCACCTTCAGGTTTGTCACCATCGTCAGCAGGTGTTTCACTCGATTTCCTTCGAGCTAAAAAGTCTTGCAAAGTCGTTACGACTACTAGTAAGACGATGATGCCGTAGAAAGACCTGAAAACCCACGGACCCTCTGATACTGGCTTTTTATAGATCAACTTTGCTGTCTTCGTACAACAGTGAACCGTGACTAGACTTTGTTTGTACGGTAAGTCGAAACTCGTTTAACTTTTATTTGCAATTAATAAAGTTATATTTATAAATTTAACCATCACAAGCGTCATCAACATCAAGATTCAGGTAAGTATACTATTATAGTATACTTACTCAGGCACACAGCAAACTATACAAAAAGTCATTTCAGAGACTGCAAATCCCTGTGTACGAGTATATGATGGATAGTATGATCTTCAATAAACATTTTATATCACTGCAGCTATGTTATATACTTACAGAGTTAGTAAAGTAGGCAACTCTAGCCAGGCATCCCACCAATCGTCGTCCTCGACGTGGCAATCCTGTTCATCAACTTTGACACGCAACACAATGCCACTCTTATGCTGATAGTGCTTGACAGCATCTTTGATGATAATCTCGACGTCACCAGGATCGCAGGCTGATGGTATGCACACACCCCAGCTCAGCGTTGAAAAACGCGGCACGAAGTGACCTGGCTGAACGAATTATGGTACGGGTGAGATAAGGACTAAGAATAACACCATGTATAATTAGCGAAATATTACTTGCACCTATTCGTGTTATCGCTTCGTCTTTGAAGTACAATAGGACAAAAGAGTGGGCCATCTCGGTAACGCATGTATCGTGCCATCTATACAGTGCAAACAACTAGTTCAACCACTTTTACACATTGGCACTTAATTCTATACTTAATAATCTTTATGTGGAACTAACTTTATTGAATTAGTAAGAAAAGACCCGGTAGTCGGTATTTTATGAAGTACCTACAGTTAAAGAATGGAGTTAATGTGTAAATTATTTAAAAATAGGATTCAGAAATATCACGTAACGCACCCATGTACGATGGACCAAGATCATTAAGTCCATGTACACTTTTAGTAAGAACTGTTAATAGTTTTAATATCCTATTGTAATAGAAAGGGGTTTCAAGAGATAACATTCACCGTTCCAAATAATATATCTTCAACTATAACACCATGTTCCTGGGTTATCAATATCATTTTCTAATTACTTTGATTCTAACAAAACAACATGAAAAAACTTATTTCCCTGCAAAAAGTTTGCTTTTGTGGTCTGGACAACTAAAAGTTGAAATTTGCGTTCCATAACGTACAAATTTTCAGGTTTCTCTTTATTTAAAGATGAAAAGGGAACATTATTATTCAAATCAATAAATGTTTCAACCAAAATTCTAGATTCTAGACTAGATCGGCGAGATTATATAAAGACTATAGTCTATAGTAAATACCACTGTGACAGCTACAAAAGCAAAGTTTCAAGGGTAAAACTACTCTTTTCTATATACTTGCTGTTCTATTAAACAGAAACCGTCATAGTCAAATCAGAAACAGAACAGTTTTGAAAATTTATTACAAAGTATAATTTATCGCTTCTCAATCCTATAGTTTGAACAATAATAATCCTTCATTTTCTTTCGCACGAAAAATTTTACAAAATATAAAAACTAAAAGAGAATGTAACTATAACATAAGCAGAAAGAAGGCTCAGCTTATGCTAATACATTATCATGAAGTAGGCCCAGTGCTGCCTTTAAGTACCTTGAACAAAAATCTTATTCCTAAGCCGGGTATCTAATTCCACAATGGCAGCCCGAATCTTAGATATAAATTTTTAGGTGTACTTCACGATCTTTATCTGTAAAAGGGCCCTAGAGTGTGGACCGCTGCCGGTAATAACAATACCTGTTCTTGCCTAATCCGAGCCTTAATTTAGAATTTAATTAAAGATAGGTACTCTAACTGGCGAAAAATGTGATTAAATATTTTCGAAAACTTTCGACATATAGTCGCCAACAGCTTTCATAACTGTATATCGCAGCTTTTCAAGTATACTGGCCTAAATCAAAATAATTACTACACAGCTTCATTTAGAACGTGCTTCATTTAGAAATTTTATTTTAATTACAACACCGAGCTTTTCATCGGTTCATCACGTGACAACATTGAGCAGGTTCATGTTTCGTTGGTTTTGTGCGTCAGATTACGTTTTTTTACATCTTCCTGATGAATTAGGTGCTTTTGAGATAGACCGCTATTCAAGAAAACCACCGATATATTTACAATGAAAAGCCGGAAAAAGATAGCGGCAAATTAATCAGACCCACGGCGGCAATTTGCATGAATCCAACCCCGACTGCTCAATCACAAAAGGATATTTGATTGTGCAAGATAGAATAAAGTTCTGATCATCCCTTATTTTAATATAATATTAATTACTTGGCTGTGGGCTTTCAAGAGATCAATAATAATTAAATTTAGATGAAACAAGTGAAGACTTTAACTGACATCTTGTCACAGTGATTGACAGGTGATTTCATTGTGTAAATAATTCCTTCTAAGTAATTAATCATTTCGTCATCATCATTATTTCAGCCAAAAAACCGTCCACTCCTTGCGTCTAGCGGATTCCCGCAGCCCTAACCAGATCATCAGACCACCTTGTGGCGGTCTGCCCACGCTGCGTCTCCCGGTACGCGGTCGCCATTTGAGAACTCTTCAGCCCCATCGGCCATCTGTTCTTCGAGCAATGTGCCCAGCACACTTAAATATTGCAATTCTTTGGGCTATGTTGGTTACTCTGGTTCCCTTGCGGATATCCTCATAACTCTAAGCGTAGCCCTTTCCATTACCCTTTGAGTGACCTTGAGCCTTCTTGTCAGACTTATAGTGAGCGTACACACATTGGTCGAAGACTTTTGTCTTGAGACACTGGGGTATTTTAGACAAGAAGATATGGCGTAATTTCCCGACGAACGAAAAAACATCCTAATTTCAACAGGGAAGATGGTTTCTCCGTACCACCAGTTTGGGATCCAGTATTTCCTCTAATGAAAAGTCCCAAAGAGATATAAGACTGCAGTACTAATTAATATGTTTTAGTTTATTCTAATTTCTATTAATAATTAATAATAAATTAAACTTAATAAAAATTCATTCAATAAAATAATTTGTAAAACTTAATGTAGCGTAAATTAGAATGTTTTCTTTGTAAAATTAAAAATAAGGTATTAATTAATAACTATTGTAACTATAGTGAAAAAATAGGGTGGTTTGCATTAATATTAGACATAACTGGTTGAAGACTGTACCACCTCAGTCAACCGTGACCATGGGACCAGTAAAGGGCCCGAAACGTCGGTTTGTTTGAAAAAACAAATATACGCGATTTAAATCCGGAAAAATAGTTTCATTTCCTATGTGTAACAATCGCGAAAACCTAAGAACTCGATAAGACAATTATAATTTCAATTACATCTGGCAACGATAATGTACTGCGCCAAACGGTCTCACTGAAAAGTTATTTCGAAATCCATTCGCTTGTAGTGAATATTATGTCTTACTCTCATGATAATCATTTACGTTCTGTGAAATTATCCCCTGGTTTCTTATAATTAATAACTAAGATCGAACACACAAAATTTTTTTACTTTAATTACTTCATAAACAACCCAAAAAAAACACAACTGACTATAACTGCGCTGAGTTCAATTATAAGTCATGTATTGAAACTCACATTTCAGGTACTTACATGGAATACTAATATTTTTAATGCCTTTTTTCTAGTAAATTAAAAGAGAAATGTCTGAAAGTTTTTTCTTCATTCAACCAGGTAACTGATATAATAAATATTAGACAACATCAAACATCACTGATCTGATGCCAAAGTAAGCAGCTAAAGCACTTGTTTTATGGGAATATAATATAATAATAATATAATAATGCACACACTCAACATAGCCCCACTCAACATAGACAGTATACACAACATTTGTAGACTGTTTTCTCGTACTTACGTAAAATCCTAGCACAAAAAATCTACTCACATCATCAAGTTTGCTCTTAATGAGGTTCTTGGCTTGCGCCAGGTGCACCGGGACCTCCAGCTCGGGATGTTCCGCCTTCACGTCCAGTCGAGCCAAGCAATACTTGCCTTGCACCTGGTGTCATATTAAATGGTTTATTATTGGAAATTTCTTGATAGAGATATATTCTTCTGTTGGTCAGTGTAATATTTTTTTCAGCAACATACATACAGTGTTGTTATTTCTAGCGGAAATTTTTAAAAGCATCTTTTGAAAATAACAAACGAGATGCTATCATCAATAATATTTGATGGGCACGTATTTTATTTATAACTAATTCAACTAAATTTCAAAAACTTCCGACCCAAAATATTGTACTCAAAAAAGTCATCTCTAAGCCAACTAATCATCGAAACCTATTCAACGAGCCCAATCATGACTGTTCGGGGAGTCTTTTTTTATTTTTTTTATAATATCAAGTAACGGGACGAACAAGTCGTGCGCCATATGTAAGCTACACGCCTATCCATAAGAATTGCAGTGCCTCTCAAAGCTTTAAATCGCAAAGATCTGAGGGGCACTGCCACTGCGCCCGTCACCCTGAGACATAAGTTAACAAGTTCCATGAGCCTGTTTCACCAGCACCCTTACCCTTCAAAACCGGAACACAGTAATGCTCACATTACTGCTTGGCGGCAGAAATAGGTAAGGTGGCAGAACTTCCCTGGACGAACTTTTTCGCATCCAGCTCTACTGCTATTAAACTAAGAGGTTGCTTCCGTTCTCCGCCCAACATCCGTCCGAAGCAATTCCAGTTAAATACGTAATACATGATCTAATCAAAAGACAATATCAAGTATGAAGCGTCATTCGCATCATGCTACTTTTAATTTGGTCGAGTATTATCTATTTGACAATAATTGTTGCGGTCGGATGTCGGACTTAGGACGGGTGGTAGACCCCCTGGACGCAGCATTAGATACAGGTTACCATATTATTGTATCGGATTTCCAACCAAACTAATATTATAAATGCGAAAATAACTCTGTCTGTTACGTTTTCACGCCTAAACCGCTGAACCAATATTGAAAAAATTTGGTATAGAGGTAGGTGGAACCTAGGCAAAGGATATAAGCTACTTTTTATCACAAAATAAAAACCTTAAATTTGGTCAAACAAAGGATGAAATTTTGTATGGAGAAACAATAAAACTATGAAAATTAGTATAGTACAGTAGTACACGAAGTTCTTATTCTACACAGATGAAGTTGCGAACACCAGCCAATAGTATATATACAATTTCAAGTCGATTGAGTAAGTGAAAGTAAAATAAATATTCATCTTCTGACAGAACCTATTATATTATTATAAAGTTTAAGGTATTTGCCAATTGTTTGCACGATCACTGTATATCAAAAAATAATCCAGTCTGTATCCAACAACCATCGCTTTATTACACGTTACATGGCGCAGCCTGAAGGGTACGAACCTACGCTCCCATAGGGAATCTGATTGCGATCGTTTTGTTACACGTTACAGCCCAACCCTAAACTAGCTGGGAGAAACAGGTGATAATAAGAGGTGATATATTTATTTGGTCTGTGGGTGATATTTTTAAACAGCTGTACAAATCGATACCTACGATAGTGTTCATTGGAGGTATCGAAATGTTCGTCAAACATAGAAGAACCATGAAAGTTAAATTAGCCATTAAATAAAAAAAACCCTATACTTTTTTTTACAAGCCCAGCTATTTGGCAGACAGACATACATAGGTTTCAACGTTATAACTCCCCTATTCCTGCATCGACTGTTTTGAAAAAGAACGTTATTGCTACAAAGTTAAGACATTTTCTTTACATGCTTAATAGCCTATTAAAAGTAGAATTGCCGTTGCCGTTGATGGTTGATGTCTTTGCGTGAAAAAAATTGTTAAACTAATGATTGGCTTTGATTTCAAGCGTAATTGACTAATCTTCCATCTGTATATACGAACAACGTACCACAATCCCACGAGCCCTAAAATCACCCACCTTGACGACACTTCCTGTATCGAGCTGCACTCTCGCACGGCTCCCCAAGCACTGGTCAAAGTCGCCGAGTTGAATACCATTGCCTTGTAGCAGCCCCGAGGGAATCTTTGCAGTAGCGTCTAACACTGGAATAACACGTAACACATGATGGTTTATACATGTATACTTTAAGTACACGTAAACTATTAAACGTTTTATATTTAGTAGTGATAATTAGTTGAATTATTATAACTAAGACTATAATTGTAACTGTAACGTCTTTTGTTTGGATACTAGATATTATTATTGATAAACAAACAGTCAGAAGGTCCTAAGTAGGGAATAAGTGATAACTTTAGCGAAACTAAGGAAGCATCCGCAATGTCCTCAACTACCCTCAAAAAATCTCGACTATCTGTCGTAACTTTGTCGTGAACATTTATTTGATCGTTGAACGTCTGTGGTGTCTAGCTGTTCCCACTAGATCGTGACGACAATTTATTGGTTCACGGCAGCCACCTTGCCGTTTGCACGACAGAATCGTTTGAAGCTGCGATTGTTTGTCGTCACATTTTTATCATGAGGATTTATTTATCGTCTGACGTCTGTTGTTCTAGCTCTTCCCATTGTTACGACAGTCTGTCGTAGTAACATCAATAAAGTCGTGAACTACAGATAAGGCTGATTCATGTTACACCGTCCCGGGGCCGGGCCGTCACAGTGCCATGTCAGCTATTGCAATAGCTCTTGATGACGAAGTATTGGAAACGCAAATTGAAACTAGAAAAGAAGATGGTGTGTACATCCTGCCTGGAGATAAAGAGAATCCGAAGGAGAATTTGCCACGCTACACAAAGATTTAATAGATGATGAGACCATTTTGAGCTTGCGCTGTCCACTACACTATAGTCCAACATTGACTACCTTCCTGGTGACAGGCGAATGCATTCATATTACGACGTGTCGATCGGGCCGGGTTGGAACCGGGAAAAAATACTCGACGACGTGCCCCGACAGTACCTCGGCCGTGACACGGACTCGATCATGGAATTCTTACAAAAGCATATATAGATATTTGACCGTGCCACGGCCGGTGCACGACCGGAGCACGGCCCAACCCCTGCACGGTATGACATGAATTAGCCTCTAATCGTGTTCTACTATATGTGAACAACTTCATTTACAAGACACGGCACTTTAAACTGCATGACCATTTGTCGTCACGCCATAATGGGTACGCGCCCTAACTCGTGTTGATGCTATTATGCGAAAAAGAGCAGCTTCGCCAATGCGCAGAATTAGTAGCAGCGACAGTGCCGGCTTTACCTATGTGCAACGCACACGAGGGCACGTCTTAGGCGGACTATTGCTTACCAACATCATTTATAATTGCACCGTTTGCCCTCGAATTTCCGACCACTGGGAAAAACATAATTGTAAGTATTCCATTTTGATCGCGTGATACTAGAGGGCGCTTGGGTATTGTTTTCATCCGGGCGCTACTTGGGTTAGCGCCGGCACTGGCAAGCGAAAACAACCTCCTGGGTGTCATTGCATTCAAGGTCAATAATTATTCGTAATATTACCCCTATTTTTAACCGACTTCAAAAAATGTGAAGGTTCTCAATTCGAGTCTATTTTTTTGTGTATAAGTTGTTATTGTTGTATATGTAGTGTTGTTGTTTTTGTGTAATGCTGTTACTTCGTATTTGTAAACCGATTTTAATGATTCTATTTTGTTGGAAAGAGGGATACCTCAATATTAGTCCCAGACGCGTAGATGTTTTATCTTTCCAGTGTCGACTTATTCTTTTTCTCGAATTTCCTGTTTGTGCCTTTCTTTCTTCCGATGGCAGTTTAACACTTATATAAATATAGTTGATGATAGCATTAGACGAAATATAGTTGACCTACAAAACATTATCCAATTCACAGTTTTTCACGACTGCTACACGTTGGAAATTGAACTTTTTCGCATCTAAATCGCAAATATTTGTTATAGACACATACGATGTGTAAAATATTTTAACAAAGCATGCATTTTATAACTATTAATGCATTTTTAATTTAAAAAAAACTTTATTATTGACATTATTGCCTCAACTTGGCTAGTACAACGTGGTAATTTTTATAAGCTCTCTTAGGTGGTGCTACGGCTTAAAAGCAAGGTTAAACCCACTATGTGGTCTCTGGTTAAACCCAATACAAGGATCCGCAATAAGCACATTGACAAATTCCGTAGTTCAATTGGCAGAACAGCATCCACGCTGAAGTAGCGTCGCCGATTCGAGTCCGCTCGGGACGAAGAAATTTTCCTTTCGGTTTGTTCGATATTTGCATCAATCATCATCATCATATCAGCCGAAAGACGTCCACTGCTGAACAAAGGCCTCCCCCAAAGATTTTCAGAGTAGCCAATCGGAAACGGCGGCTTGTATCCATAATTACAATAAACTAAGGGTCGTATTCTGGAACTCTACTCAATGCTCAAGTAAGGATTTGAGTATAGTTTAAAGCACTCGAAATCATACTCAAGTCCCTGCCATTAGGGTCGTATTTCCAGTGCTTGTGTTTCCAATGCAATCCTGACTTGAGCATTGAGTAGAGTTCTAGAATACGACCCTAAGAGAGTATTTTCTAAAAAAAATATGAATATAAACACCGTATTAAAAACAGAACACAAAATAACACATTTTTTATAATGTCAAGTGACGGGACGAACAAGTCGTGCGCCTGGTTGTAAGCAACACGCCTGTCCATAACAATTGCAGTGCCAGTGTTACTACCACTACACCTGTAACCATGAGACATAAGTTGACAAGTCCCGTGTGCCTGTAATTTCACCTGCACCTTTAGGCGCAGTCGACACGAATTTCATCGCGCTTACTCCGCGCGGCCTCCGAGCGAAGCCCGCGTTCCCGCTGCGCAGCGGCCGGTTGCGTCTAACTGTCATTGCAAAATACGCTCTATTTATTTACTTTTTACGTTTTAACTTAAATATGCGTCCCGGGCGCCTGGCTTGAATTTGGTCTTTAATTGTTGTTGCCTAGTAAATAGAATTCAGATTCGGGGCCGCACAAAATCTTTCGCCTCGTGTAACTGGGCGCATATCCTTCAAAACCGGCATACAGTAATGCTCAATTACTGCTTGGCGGCAAAAATAGGTAAGTTGGTAGCATTTCCCTGGACAAACTCTTTCATAAGGCGCTCTACTGCTAATAAATATATTAACGAGTAGTAGGTATAATTATGTAGTCTTATGTCTGCTTGGGATTTACAATGATAGGAAATACAAGTAATACAAAAGGTTAATTATTATTTTTGTATTTGAAGTTACAGTTACAGTTTACCTAATACTATTTGCATAGTTAAAGAGTAAACTCACGATTCCTTTATTACCATTCTGTGTGAAGTCTCAATGGACCTATGAAGTCGGCACGCAAAGGTAACTGAAGAACGAAATGATGTTTACAGCTCGCCTCCCTTGGGAACAACTCTAGCATGGTTCAAACAGCATATTGTTCAGTTACTGTCTAATGTTACTAAGTTTAGTACATAATAGAAAGTTTAATTATCGTACAACATAGATTTACACGTAACAAATTGTAAAAATTTAAGCTAATATCATGTCTCAAAGCACATTTGCACTTTCCTAATGTGAAACAAGTGTAGGAAAACTACTATTTATTTAGATTTACTGCTTTCATGGATATTCACTGAATGATTATCACTGATTACAGGCTTCTTACCATGGTACGAGTTCTTTCTGTTATCCCGATATTTTGGAACGGTTACACGCTCCATGGTTACAAGTTGACTGATTACGTAATTAGATGTTTTGCTGTTTTTCCCACACTACCGAATGGAACACCCATTGTGAGAGATATTATCTATAATACAATAAATACTGAATATTTTTGGAATATACGGAGACGTACACATAGGTCAGTTGTTGGCGCTGTACTATTTCAGCTTTCTAATATGTGATTTCAGCACAAACGAGAGTGATATTTAAAAGTGATATAAGGCCCATTTGCCTGATGAGTTGCCAGGGATGGGTGGCCCTTATTGCATCTTTATTTCTGGTGATATTCTCGATGACGGCAGATAACAGCTTTAAGAGCAGACATATATGTCCACTGGTACTCCAAAAGAGCTCCTTGTGAAAAAGTTAATCCAGGACAGTACTACCACTTTTTTTCATCAACCAAAAATTCAGCATTCGCATCTGTGTGGAAAACCTGCATTAGCAACAACGCTGGTATTATTAATTTTTATTATTAGGGTGGCTTCATTCAGAGCCTATGTATGCATCCTTTCATCACTGCGAACAGTCTTTTGCCAGTTCGTCCGCTGACACATTACCCTCGACGTCAGAGTAGCCTGGAACGCAGCGCAGGACCGCTGTGTTATTTTCCCCGAGAGTATTCAATATATTAACAAAGTTCTCTACTATCCTCGATGTTTGGGTGACTGAGGCTAGTGCATGTAGATCCGCTTGACTATCCGAGTTTATGTAAATATACTTGTCAACGTGGCCTCTCTTCAAGTTTAAATCCACACAAGCAATTATGGCGTACACTTCGGCCTAAAAGATAGAGGAGTGTCGTCTCAAGTTCAGCTTATAGCTGAGCCTGGGACTCACGCCGTTTATTCAACAGCCTACGTTGGGTCCCATCTTAGACCCATCGGTGTACTATAGAATGCTGCCGTCCTTCCAAGTGAGACTGTTAGTTTCCCAGTCTTTCCTAGTTGGAAACTCTACATGGTAGAGATTTTTAAAGTTTTGCTTGAGAAGCATGACATCAGAAGTCATTCCCAGAATAGAGTATTCCAGAATTGAGTCTTGGGCTGCTCGCAATGTCTGGGAGAGCCATTTACTCCTTAATCTAGTGATAAGCCTGTACATGATGGTACTGGCCTCCGTTTGTGTGAATAATTAAAGTACAGTCCTGATACACAGAGTGGAATCGTTAAGTGTGTCCAGGCAATTCTTACGTAAATATACGGTATATAGAAAACCTTTCAACTGATATCAAAAGAACGTTACCTAATGAGTAAAACAACATCAACAACATTAACGTTAAAATTTTGGATATTTTTAGTTTTTATTTTAAAAAAAATTATGATGTCCTTTTACTCATAA